GAACCCAAGGGAGACACCATAGGTACTCAGAGCAGTAGTAGAATGAGTCTGATCAGGATCCATGCTGTTCGTTTACCAACCCTATTATAAGTAGAGAAACTGATAGCGAACAGCATGGATCCTGATCAGACTGCGCGGATGCGCAGGCTGGTCTGGATCCATGATGGTCGCAAACGCACTATGTTAATTTTGTCATGGCACGGCTCATTATATGACATGCGTTTTTTCTTAGTGGGTAAGCGAAATCACTGTATCATTTATTGCGACTCTCATTGTTATTCAATGTGTATGGTTTATTGCAAGCACAAACATCTTTTCCTTCCGTTCACTATACGACTTTTTGCAAGCTTATTAAACATTTACTGAAAGCGCAGGAAGTAGACATTTTTACCAAATGTGGATTAAGTATGTACATGTATTACATATTTTATAATTATACATGTCATGTGATACTTGAACTGCTCTGCATTATCTAACATTTCTAACACAGAACATTTCGCCTTGAAGGCTCGGCCGTTTTGGGGGATCAATATCGCAAATGTACAGATGTGTAAAAATTAATTTACGGATAGATTAAAAGCAAGGGAGAGAATTAGATATGTACTTAAATAATTTAAATTATTTGATTACCTCCCTTTATTCACTCATTATGATGTTAACATTTATATACTATATTATTCATAATATACTCATATACTCATTGCATTTTTTTCTATAGCATGAATTAATTTTGAACATAATATCATAACTTGAATAGATAATAGATAGGTAATAAGTAACTGTTATTTGTTGAATTTATTTCCTAGGCTAGTTACTTTGTGAAAATGTATGTATCTTCTGATCCAATTATTTTGTGTAAATCTTGTAATGCTTTATATATACATATGTAAAGTACATTTGTATTGTATAAAATAGTAATGGAAAATTTATTTCATTATACGCGCCAAATGTGGCGTCTATGAACGTAGACGTCTGTTTCGTACGTTTACGTTCATTTGCTATTTATCAACTGATGAAGATTATTAAAACGAAATATGTTTTGATAAATTGTGTGTGTGTTTTTTTTATATCTTTTTATCATATGTACTACAGCAAATTCATTGACAGAGTTATCGCCCGTTTCTTTTAAACCATCAATCATTGATGTTATTTCAGATTTATAGATCTATTTTCATACAGGTATTGAGATGCCACTGCATGGCGGAATTGCATTATCAATTTCGTTATTAACACTATCAGTGCTAAATATCTTAAATGGACTTGTCCATTTTTAAATCTTACAAAACCATTCATCATTTAAGGAAAACTTCCATGACTGCTCTAAAAGCTAAAAAAGCTGACTATAATTTTGGTCAGCACTGGTGACATGGGTATATTTAGTTGCCATGCACCAGCATAGCATGACGGAAGAAAAACATTCTTCATGAAACACAATATGAATATTTCCATTATCTTTTTATTATAAATGCTGAATTAAAACCCGTTTTTTTAACTAAAGGACATACATTGTATCTTTTTGTCTTTTACAATGTACTTCTATCCAGCTCGACTATTCGAAGAACACGAAGAGCTATTATCTAGCTCTCGGGTAACTGTTTATCGGAAACTCGGCAGAGCCTCGTTACCGTCGTAAACAGTCATCCTCGAGCTAGATATTCCGGTCTGAACCGGGAGCTGGCGTAAGATTTATATAGTACTTCCCCAGGTCGGTGTCGGCGTTTGGTTTAGTTTCTGATTGCACGTTGATATATCCAACACTATACTGAAGGAAATGGGTTGAAACTTCATTCACCTTTTATAGAGCATAACAGGAGGTCAGTATCCAAGGTCCATAACTCTGAGATGGATTTTGACAGAGCTATGCCCCTTTTTTAACTGATAATACTCCAAGCTCCTGTTTTAGTCTAAATCAGTCAGAATAGACGAGCACGATGTCCTACTAACAGTTACTGTTCTTGTTTATTGTTGATGCCCTGTTACAGTCTCATTGGCCTGCCCAGTCGCATTGGTCATTATACCTGAGACAGCCATCTATTGCTACTGTTGTGTTTAGTCAATTAGTACAGTTATATGAATTTAGTATTATGCATGGAAGTCAACATACCACTTTGTTTACATATTGTTACTTTTAATCACAACTTATTTCACATTTAGTAAAAACAGCTGTCATATACGTATGTCAACAGTCGAGAATGTCTTCCTCAGAAACATTTAATATAAAAGTCAAACGAAATTTAAGTTTTTAATTGGGCACAGACGTTTTTCAGACACTTTTACTAATTATATAATCCTTACGATGATAAAGGTCGTTCACGGGATAGAAGAATGCGCTTGACGTTATATATAACAATCTCAGGCGCCGAAACGCCTGAAAAAGACAAATGAGCTAGGCCCCCTATATTAACGTGTGCGGCTTACCCGAATTTTTATGCGATTTTTTTTCAGGATTCTTACTGAAGAAGAACAATCTAATTCTCATAATTAATAAAATTTAAAATCTAAGTCGAAGGAAATTACGGTAAACGCAGACTACTTAAGTAAGTTTATTTTCGCACATGTTTTTGTTTTTGTCTACATCTAATTTTATCGTACACTTTTTTATCGGAATATTGTTTTTTTTTGTCTTTTATTAAACAATATTTTAAATGTCATAAGTTTGAGTTGGTGTAGCACATATACGGAGAGCGACTTTGAGAATGTATAAAAAAAAGAAAAAACCTCCTCACGGTTCATAGACAACTTTGAACAACTTTTCAGGTTTTTATAAGCTTTTTGCCGTATGCGCTTACTATGTTTTCTGTTTAATTGCTATACATTTTGCTTTGTTGTTAAGAATCTATATGTGAAATTAAATCAAGTGTTTACGGTAATAATTTTAATTCATATTTTATTGAATTTATGGCCTAGTTCCGAGTTATTCAGGATCATGCATCGTACAACATTATAAAGCACATGCTTGCCTTATCTGCACAACGAAAAAAAATCATTCCAGGGGTAAACATGTAGGTTTAAATGCACTTATACTATGGACAAAAACAAAAACAACAAAGTTGAATCCAGTATATCTAAAAGGGCGGTAAAAACGGTCTATGAGGTTAGTTAATTAGTATAAGCTTTAAGTCGCACCAACATTGTACAAGTCATATGGCGACTTTCAAGCTTGACGGTTGGAGTGCACCTTAATTAGTGCATTGTTTAACACGTCCAAGAAGTACAGTTCATCAGTCTATATCTTCTATAATAGATGTAACTCCGTCTTCACTCCGAGGAATCTTTATAATTAGGATTATCAAACTCCAACACTGGAAAAGGCCCTGCATTGCGAATAGCATCAAACCATGCCTTAAAATCATGGCTAAAGCAGTGGGAAGCTGTAAGTCGGACATTTTTCCCGCTGTTACAATTTCGCGGCTAACAAGGCAATAGCATTTTCTCTCGGCTTTACGGGAATGACGGGAACGGATGTCTATTTTCACGCACTCACATAAGTCACAATCGACTATTGCATTAAAGCTACATAACGTAACTTTTACTTTGTACTGTTAACCCAAACCGGAAACCAATGTGGATGACCACTCCGAAAGAGTGTTAGCAGTTGGCAAATTTTCTGGTCACAGTAAGCTTGTTCAGAATGCAATAGCATTCCGAAAAGCTTCATTTCATGCCTTGTTGGGAATTTCTGCGTCTGGCATGCTAAATTAATTATTGTTTTACTTAATTTTTATGAAAAGTTCTGTACGATGTGTGGTTCCCGGTCTAAAAATATGTATGCACCTATATTTACTTATGGAACAGGATCAGTCGTACGTATTATTTTACTCTAATCTTCCAAACACTTACTATTTAAAACAGAATCAAAATGAAATTTTATTTAGAACACGACAAAAACGGATGGGCACCAATTTAAGCTTATGATAAATGAGGTTTTATGGACAGTCTACATTTTTCTCTTCTTTTTTTTTTCTTTGTGTTTATAAAAAGTTTTATTAAGGACCAAACAAGTTTTACGGAAAACTATAATGTCATTTCTGAGGAAAACTTTTTGATCACAAAAAAAAAAATGTCCCGGCTAGTGACAAAGTGAGATTTTTCTTGAAATTTTAGCGTTATTTTCCTTGAGCTATGTACAGAACAAAATAGTTTACATTAGTTTTATATTAATTTATTTTCATTCTTTTTTTTTAATATAAGCTCTATTTCAAATGATGATTTTAAAAATGATTCAATTAAACTTTACTGTATATTATATAATGTAGGATAAAGATATTAAAAATTATTACTTATATGTACATGTAATCCCAGTTTCATCATTTTTATTATCTATATACAGTATGATCTATATTCTTATTTCAGGTAGAATATCATATTTAATACAGGTTCCGCATGTATCAAATTATACAATGTGAAAATTTTATAAAATATATCATTGTAATTATTATTATAAATTGTAATATATAGGATTCTTAACAACAAGCATTGTGAAAAGTGCTACTGAAATAATTGAAAATTATGGGGTGTGTTAATTAGCCTATTTTTAGCCATTTTTATATAGATACTTTCCGAACAGTTTCCCAAAAAATCCAAGTGTTTCATTATGTTTTTTACCAATGATTTCATTCGTTCTTTCTATTTCAAAAATATACTTCCCACTTAAACTTTAAAAGTTATTCTATTATGTTTTTTACCAATGATTTCATTCGTTCTTTCTATTTCAAAAATATACTTCCCACTTAAACTTTAAAAGTTATTCTATTATGAATGACTCACGGGTTAATCCCATGCCCTCCTTAGTGCAATTCTCACATTGTGTTAAAATTCCGGATATGACGAAAACAAAATAGTCCTGTAAAAGACTTTTTGCATCCTACTTGGACACCGAATGATTTTCCTAAATTCCTTTAAATCATTATAAATAATTTATGAAATTGGATATTAAATGTATATTTTATTTTTATTGTGTTTTTCTTCAAGAAAGTTAAAACAGCTAAACGCGGATGAATTTATGTTCTATTAATGGCTGAATTAAGTAGTTCCTAAATTGCTGGTAAAACAAGAAAATAATTTGTGAAGTGTTATATCGAAGTGTGAGCCTCTTACAAGGAGATATAAAATTAAATAACTGTATAAACTTAAAGACAAATTTGTGATGCGGCGTATTTTATATATTTTAGGAGTGTGTGTGCTCCTATTAGCCGTGGAAACAGGGGCAGCGGTAAGTAACTGATCGCGGACACGAAACAAAACAAACAACATGGTTTCGTTCATTTGTTAAGGAATAATGTGAAAGTTGACAACGTTTTAGAGTGTCTTTTCAGTTTAATTACACATTCAACGTAAATCGATTTATAAGAATGAATTATAATGTATAAATCATTATTTGATTATGAAAATATTCAAAGGAATTTCAGGTGATTTCCCTAAATTAATTTGAGATAATTTGGATCGACCATGGCGATTTTGGTGCACTTGATGAAGTTGCTTTTGAAGAGCTCACTGAACGTACATTTGCTGTGTGGGCTTTGCTGTGTAAAGAACAAAAGATTGATTTAAAATGTTTATATTGGTGAAACAAAACATTTATTGGTTGTTGCCGTTTGTGGGCTATATAACCTGGTCTAAAGCAGGAGGGGTGGCCATGATTCGTTACCCTAAGCATTTTATTGTGCTACAGTAGCAGGGCACTACTTTGGTCATTTTTGGGGCTGAATACTTAACTAGCTATTGATTTCAATGGTAGGAAAACCAGTGTCTATTCTAGGACGCGCGATTGCGCGATTCACGCTAGTATTTAACAGATCATGCACAATTCAAAATCATGTGCGTGAAAATCGCGCATCTATAAAAAAGTTAATAAAACCGTAAAACTTCCATCCCGCATTATATTTGGTTGTTTTGTTTACATTTATACCGAAAACCGAAGGGAGGTAACTGTAAGCTAATTATAATAATTTAGTACCGTATGGTACTGGTTACGTGATTTGACGGAAATTAACGGAATGTTCCGTATCGACCGGAACTAGTGTGCTAGGTCTGACAGTTGGGCGCCATTTTAGTGTAGTAAATAATCAAGAAAAATGAGGCAATTCCTAGCTTGGCTACGATCTAGACGTGAAAGATAGTTCGATTATTTGTATTGCCAATCCCTTTATAATCAATCGCGGCAGTTCTGTAATAATCTGTAAAAATTAAGGGGGGACAACTTCTGCTGCCTTAAATAAATATTATCGTTTTAATTATTTCATCGGTTGAACGCCTCAGTGTAAACTTAATGCAGACGATTTAACATTGGCAGTTTATATTGGCACCCTTTGATTTTGAAAATCGCCCCCTTTTTTGAAATAGAGGGGGGAAAATCACCCCTATTTTTCAATTCCTAGAATAGACACTGGGAAAACTACAAACTATTGAAACCAATGATAGGAAATAGTGTAATGAGTAAATCTGATAAAAAATACACTATATAAATACATGATAAGATGAAATTTCGAATTTTGCCTTAAAATGAGGGACCCTTAAAACAACGCAAAATTCCCCTTCCTTAGGGTACGAACTGTCCCCAAAAGGTGTCTAGTGCCCTCTACATCGTATGTCGGCGCAATCACACTTGATTATAACGCGACCTCTTGAATATTGAAAAGTATTTGTGGAGACATTTTGACATTAACAGTAAGGGTTTTGACTCCAGCAAAGGGTCGCATTTAGGGCACCTGACATCTAACGGTTCATTCTGTTTTGTTTAGTGTATTAATATATACAAACATGAACTACATGAAATATATATAAAATTGGTTGTGGACCCACAAAACTGATGTTGAAAATTAAAGAGTGCAATCAGTGTTTCTGCCAGACTAGATTTTTTGTGGGTCATTTTTGACCCTCTATATAAAAATATGGGGGTCATTTGAAATTATTAAGGGTCAAATTTTGAAAAAGTAAAAACTACAAAAGTAAATCTTAGACCTGTTTGATTTCACATGTTAACTTTAATTTTCCACTTTTTGTGGTTGCAAATGATAAATCTTTTAAGGAAGAACCAAGTCTTATTTGCATTAAAATAGAAATTTTTGATTGGTTTAAAGTCATGATATTCTGACAGAAATATTTTCATTGGTTTAAAAGGTCAAAAAGAAATATTTTTGTTGGTAATAATAAAAGTTTTATGATAATTTTTTCTACAGGCCAAGATGTTTGAATTACATTAAATAAAAAGCTTCTGCCATTATTTTACCCCCACCCCCTCCCCCAATAAAAAAATCAAATAAAAAAAAATACAGCAACCAAAGCAAACAATAAACAACACTCAAGAGAGATGTTACAATTCTTGTAAATCACAACGTTTTGTGATGCACCCTGATATGGAGCATAACTGATTATACTCCATTGCACAGAGTGTTAACTTTCATTTGTCTGCATTGTGCAGAAAATAACTGAAATGCTGTAATTGTTTTTCTTCTGAAGTTAAAAGTACCTTAATTGTGAAAAAAGTGGGCGTGAACGTTTGTGTCCAGTTAAACCAGCTGTCAAAATTACAGGCCATAATTACGCTTTATATGGCCTTTGGTAATGTTGAATGCGTCAGTTTATGTATGTACAACATATACCTTAAAACCTCTCCCATTCTACAAAATGTGCATTTGATGTAAAAATGATGAAAAATTTTACTTACTATTACTAAGTTTATATCAATGGGAGTCATAGATTACAGATTGAATAAATTTGCATTTTTAGCTCGACTTTTCTATGAAAAGGGGAGCTATCCTACTCGCCCCGGCGTCGGCGTTGGCGTCACACCTTGGTTAAGTTTTTCGTACCACCCCACTTTATTTCAGAAGTATTACAAGTATGGCTTTGAAACTTACCATACTTGTTCACCATCATAACCTCCATCTACAGACAAGAGTACATAACTCTGTCAAGGTTTTTGACAGAATTATGGCCCTTTTTTGACTTAGAAAGTGTATTGAGCTTGGTTAAGTTTTTTGTACCACCTCACTTTATTTCAAAACCATTGGAGGTATTGCTTTGAAACTGACCATACTTGTTTACCATCACGACCTTCATCAACAGACAAGAGGACATAACTCTGTCAAGGTTTTTGACAGAATTATGCCCCTTTTTGACTTAGAAAATACATTGAATATGGGTAAAATCCACTTATTGCCTTAACCCTTTGAGATATTGCTTTGAAACTTTTAATGCTATTTCACATCATTACCCCATCTGTACGCAAGAGAAGGTAACTCTGTCAAGGATTTGTTTTAAAAATTAAGGCCTTTTATCGACTTAGAATCTTGGTTAAGTTTTTAGTACCAGTCCACTTTTTGACTGAACTGTTTGAGATATTAATTTGAAAGTTGGAATACTTGTTTACAATCATGATTCCCAAACATGTCCAGGAGAAGGTAATTCTGTCAAAGATTTTATTTGAATTATGGCCCTTAACTGTCAATGTTTTGTATTATAGGCAAGCACTAAAAAACTTAAAAAATCTAAAAAAATTCATTCCTATCCACTTGTTCACTTTACCATAAATTATGTCATATAAACATTGCTGTAATATTCAAGGGTATCAAACAACTAGTTCACTTTAAAAATACAGAGATTCTTGTATTGCCTTTTACTGCAAAAACTTTTTTTATTGGCAAGCAATAAAAAAGTCGAGCGCGCTGTCTTACGGACAGCTCTTGTTATATTAAAACTTACTGCTATTAAAGCCTATTCCTGAAAACTTATAAGTTTAATGTTTTTGCTCTTTGTCAAATATTTTTCTTTCCTTCAATATTATTTTAGTTACAGGTAATGGTGAAAGTTTTTAATATACTTTACAAAAAATGTCAACTGTTTTACAAAGTCTAAATGACTGATATTAAATATTAAGCATTGGTTCAACATAAATTTAGTAATTGTGAGTAAAGTTCACTCATTCAGACTTAGTCATTGTCATGCTGTGATTAAATAATCGAAGGTCACTTTAAAAATGTTGATTGCACTTTTATTTACAAACCAGTTTTTGCAATGTAACTGTTATGTTTTGTATGGTGGATTAAGGAACAACAGGGATGTGTTAGTACATAGTGAAATAAGAGAATCAGAATTGACCTGTTATCATAGTTATTCTACCTGTTACATAGACTGTTTAATGAATGGTCTAGACTATTTAAACCCTAGAGTGCTTGTATAGATAATGCAGGTTAGAGTCCTTATCCAGGCTGTCAGACCATAGCAATAGTAAGTCTGACCATACCAACTGTTAGCAGTGTTTATTCTAGGATTCGAAAAATAGGGGGGATTTTTATCAAAAAGTGAGAATTTATTACATTTGTTGATCTTTTTCCTTCTTTGTCTATGTAAAATTTTACCCCTTCCTCTCAAAAAATAGGGATGAATTCTCAAAAATATGGGTGAATACCCCCATCCCCCCCCCTCATAGAATAGTCCAGAATATGTCCTGCTCTCAGTCTAACCAGGAATGGGCAGAGTTGATATTGGGTGATTAAAAATTAAATTACCACATCATTGTTCAATTCACATGATGTTGATAAAAAAACCAATGAAATCTAAAATTCTTTTCTGTATGTAGGTTATGATTCTGAGATATAATTGATAAAAGAATGAGATATTATCTGTATGATCTTTCAAGTTTTATTACGTGAAAAACAGCCAATGTCAAAAAGGTTGGAATGCAAAAAATGAAGAAAAAATGAAAGAAAATTTTTTCTAGTACAAATTTATTACATTTGGTAAAATTTTAAAAGTAACACTGGGGATATACCTCAGTGGGGGTTTAAATTTCATTTTTTGTAATTAGGGAAGGTTTAAATTTTTGGCCCGATAAATAGTCAGGCGGCTTTTTCTCGGGAGGTGCAAAACTAATTTTGATTTGGGGAAAAAAACAAAAGTTTTGAACTTTTTCTTACAAAAACAAATTTTTAATTTTAAATGTTTCCCCCAAATTCAGTATGGGTTTTGGGTGGGAAATAAGTTTTTGTAAAAAAAAAAGTGTTTTTTGTAAATAAAGAAATGCAAATTTGGTTTGCCACATGGTGTGTGAGCCTGGGTTATTTTGGATAATAATATTTTGGTTTTGAGAGGACTTTATAAAATATAAAAAATCATTTTGTAAAATTAAGGATTACACTTGATGAGGTCTGACTCCACCAGTAGAGCTTGAAAGTGTCCCCATTTAACTATTTTATTCACGTGAAAATACAA